GATCAACACATTTACTTCTGTTTGCTAAATGCCAGAAAAATACGAGAGAATATTTGCAGTTCCTTTCCATCTTATGAATTTGCCTTTTAAACTGTTTGGCTCTGGTGAAAAGTTTAGGTTTGTTTCCATGAGGTTTTCACAACAGTTTGCTGGAGTTCTGGCCCATTCCTCCAGACAGAACCGGTGCAACTGGGTCAGGTTTGCAGGTTGCTTTACCAACACACTTTTTCAGCTCTGCTTTGCTCTTCGAGGACCAATTTGTGTGAAATATTTTCATATATTGTTGTTTCCTTATGAGAAGTGCACCTGTCCTTCCTACTGCTGGACAACATGATGCTGCCATCCATGTCACCACAGTTGGGATGATGTTCTCAGGTTTGCAATCTTCTCATTTTTTTGCCTCTGAATTTAAATTTTGAGTGAATTTGCATAATAAATTCAGACTTTTCACGTTGCTTTTGGAGAAATCACTTCTTCTCTGACGTCTACGTTGGTAAAGGACTCATTGTTCCTGCTGTAGATAACGACATTCTCCTACCACAGTCTTCACAAGGCCGTTTGCTTTTGTTTATACCCTTTTATGGTTTTGTACATTTTTCCAGATACTTTTCTGAACACTAATTTGTGTAAAAGGCATCACCCTGTTGGACCAAAGGATGAACCAAACTTGTAGAGGTCTATAATTCTCTTCTTGATTTTGTTCCATCACAGAAGGATGCCGTGTTTGAGGAAAGTGTGCCTCATTTTAACTGAAATGTTTTGAACAAACCAACCGTGTGAACAGGAGCAGCGTCAGCATTCGTCCGTGTCCGCGATGCGTCTGTGTGTGGTGACTCCAGCAGATGAAGTCAGCACTTTGTGAATCGACACCAAACCCTTGAACTTGCTTTGCTTCACAATCCTCTGGAGGCTAACCTTTTTTTTCTACCACAGTTTTCCTTCCACTAAACTTTCCATTGATATGGATGGATGAAGAACTTTATGAACAGCCAGTTTCTTCACCAATTACCTTTAATGGTTCCTGCTTGGCACCCATTAAGTCAGCAGCCTTTCCATAATATTACATTTCTGTATTAGAAAATACTTAGTTTATTGAACTTTTATGACATTTTTAGTTGTATTTACCTTTAAGCCATATTTATCAAAATGATCAAAAATAAACAAATTAAATGTATCAGACTGTATGTAATGAAGCTGCATATGAGTTAAAATACATAAGATAAATCTAAAGGTAAACTGAAACATAGTTTAAGTTTTGACATTTCTCTCCCGCAGTCTTTCCACCTGACTGGTCTGAGAACAAAACACCAACAAAAAAAGTCCAGCAATGTCAATAACCTTTAACGTGTAAAATGTAAGCAGATCATTAAGTCACTGACTGTGTGACTTAATGATGAATATTAATTATTCCATTAGGAATAATAAATATTCATTAAACTGAAAGAATCAAAGGAAACCCTGTTAAGGTAAATGACATTCTAGATCAAATTAACACAATATGCAAAACTAAATAAATTCTCACTAAGTTTTCTGGCATTTAGCAAATATAAATATTTTTGGTATTTCTAACCGACCTCAAGCAAGTTTAGTCTAATTTTACTTTAGGCAATGAAAAAAAAAGTGTTTTTTATAAGCTGTATGAAAATATTGGGTTACAACTGTAATTTTATTTCCCATTTTAGGTTTTTAATCAAGAACGATATTTTGTTTTATTGCAAAACTGTGCAGTTTGAATATCAAGCATTTTCAAAGAGTTTCTACAGAAATCAAGCACTTTCCATACCCTGAAAACTGAAGTTCAAGCATTTTCAAGGACTTCAAGCACCAGTACGAAAAGGCCTGTCGCCATAAGCAATAAATCAATAAATTGCATGATATATTAAAATGAGTTCAATCATTTCCATTTGAATGATATGCCCATTTTTTCTCTTTTCTCTCTTTCTACAATAAACTGGATAAAAGTTTTCAGTCTGGTATTTTCGTCTCAATTAAACCTTTTTTAAGGAGAATTTTGTTTCCAGAGACTTCATAATTCATTTTATTTGTTTTTGAATAATTAAAATGTTTTCCAGTGTTAAATGTTCATTAGAATTTAAAGCTTACTGATCTTAGAATGTTTTCTTGCATTATATCAGTTGAAAATGGTCTCAAAACAACAATATTATCATTTATCGCAATATCTTCTGGGAAAATTTATCGTCCATGAAAATTTGTTATCGTAACTTTGAGTAAAGACCTGGATCTGATTAATTAGACGCCTCAAATATTAAAGGAAACATGATGATGATTTATGTCCCCCGAAACGGTCAGGACAGTCTCATGTCCACATATGAAATTACAATTAAAAAAACCAGCCCACACAGAGTGAGATAAAATGAAAATATAGGCAGAATAACAATTTAGAGAAATAAATAAATAAAAAACAGAAGAAGATGGACTTGAAAGGGGATAGAAAAAGTCTGATTCGGTGAAGGGGGGATGACTGCAGCGGTCCCAGCGGTCCCTGCAGGGACCTGGGGGCAAGTCTCAGCCTTGTCATACTCTCCTCTTCCTCCTCCTCTTCCTCCTCCACTCTGCACACCATCTCCACCCCCCACCCCGCTCCTCCACCGCCCCTGTTCTGCCCACGGAAAACGTCGATAGCAGGCTGCCGGTGCCGAGGTCTCTGGTGGACACTAGCTCATTCTCCCGGCATCGACAGGCCCGCCAAATCAATATTTAGTTCCCCACTAACAAGCTGCCTCGGGGTCTGAGCCAGAGAGAGAGGGAGGGAGAGAGAGGAGCGCGGGACAGAGGACGGCGGAGAGAGACAGAGCAGGGACTGAGAGCTGTCCAGCTAGAAGGGAAAAACATGGATTCAGAGTGTGTGTGTGTGTGAGTGTGTGTGTTAGTGTGTGTGTGTGGGAGGTGGAAAGGTCAGGAGAAGATCTGGGGAACAAGAGAACAGTGTCTGCTGTGTGTCGTGGTGCGGAGGCGACGCATGAGTGCCTGCAGCAGCTGCTGACATGGACACACACACACACACACACACACACACACACACTCCTCGACGCTCTCAATCATACGCGTATCACAGCGAGCAGACGTTGACAGTGCTCAAGCAAAGCTCCAGCAGAGAGCACTCACAGATGAGTGGCTGTGAGCACACAAAGGCTCCAGCGGTGAGGATGCACTCGCCCGTCTTTGTTTCATCTTTTGAATCATTGTTTTCGAGCCTGGAGCAGGATCACCGGGGTGGGAACTCAAATTCTGCTTCTATTTACTCGATTTGCGTGAACCTGCTGCCCTAATTTTTATTTTTTTTTCTCCATTCAACACTGACAAAGCAGGATATTTACAAACCTGAGAGCACATTTATAGAAATGCAAACATCTTCAGATAAAAGCTTTGAAACTCCAAAGAGTTAAAATTATTTGTAAAACAAAAGTCTTCAGGCAAAAGTCAATGTTTTAATAAACGTTCAATGCAAACTTATAGATAATCCTGAGTCAGATATTGAAATGATAACTGAGTCTGTCCAACTACATGGACAATTAAAACTACATGAGCAGTAAGTAGGAGAGACTGTAAGATACCATTTAGGAGAATGTATTTTGGTCAGCTTGGTCATTAGGACCAAGAAATATTACAAGTTTGAATTGTTTCCTGAAATCATTTTTTAAATAATTAATGTTTTTACATGCATTTTTCTTACAGATGTTGTTGTTTCTATTATATTTAATCTAAATCACACTGATAAATTCTGATAAATATGCACTGTCCTGTTAATCAAATACATCTAATTCACAATTAAAATAATCATAAAACAATTTGCACAAGAAACAAAAAATTATCTGCAGCAACAATCAGAAGAAAAAAAAAGGTTAAAAATCCTCCAAAATATCATGTTAGATGTTTTTTTCAGAGCGTACCGCTGGATGTCCGCACACCGTCCCACCAGGGAGTTCATGTCCACACATAGATTTCCAGTAAACAGATCAAGACCACCTCTGTCCTAATTTTCGTGTCAATCCCGCAGGAGGTCCTCGCATTGATCAGAACATTTTAGCTACGCTGTAGAGAATATAATCCCAAGGATCCGCTCGCTTCTCATTATGAGTTTCAGTCTCATTTAATAGACTGTGGGGGATTATTTTCTCAGCTCTGCAGTCCAGAAGTGAAATATTGGACCTTCTGCATCTTTCAAAGCTCTCATCATCATCATCTGGTAGTCAGTTCAGGTTTCTGCAGGGATTTGGTTCTAACAGCCAATTATATTTATTTTAAAAAGAAAATGACACTTTTAAAAACAAAACAGCCTCTCAGAAACGAAGAAACCATCTCTCCAAAACAAACAAGCAAAAAGAAGCCAGTTTGCAGTTTGCAAAGTCACTCAAGCATGAAGACTCAAACATTTGGACATGTACCCTGTGGTCTAAAACTAAAATTTAAGTGTTTGGTTGTAATGATCATCATACAAACTGTGATGTACGAGGGTGGCAGCATCATGATGTGAGGATGGTTTGCTGCAGGAGGGACTGGTGCACTTCATAAAATCACTGGCATCATGAGGATGAAACATTAAGTGGAAATATTGTAGCAAAATCTAAAAACATGAGTCAGAGAAGTTAAAGTTTGGCCATAAATGGGTCTTAAAATGGGCAGTGATGGTAACCATATCACCAAATGAGTAACAAAAGAACAGAGTCTGGAGTCGCCGTCACAAACTGACACAAGCATTCAGAATAATTCAATGTCACACAGTAGCTGACTTAATAACTTATTTAAAAACTTATTTTCAAGTGCATTTCTTATTTGATGGAAACACCACAATTGCAAAATTGTGTTTTATCGACATGAGTGGAATGTCAACAAAGTTTTGTGCAGATTTGTAATGGAAACGTAACGACTGAAAACAAATACTGATGTGTCTTTTGTCATAGCACAAGTCAACACCTGGTTCCAGCTCTGTTCACTATGCAGACGTGTTTGACCCAGTAGAACAGGTAACTATTGCTGACCTTCTGCTGGAGGATGAAGTTCAGGTGGTCCAACCAGACCTGGTCTCCGGACGTCTCTGTGCAGGTGGCCGACCTCTGGAAGCACAACAGCAAAGAGACTTATTTTTACTGACGGGAGACAGAAAAAAGAAGTTATGAAGGAGTGTTGTTCGATGACGCAAATTACCACAGAATCTTACGTCAACCTTTCAGGGTTTTATGTCTACAGGCAGAACTGTAGCTTCACACAACAGAGGACCTTGAAGCAATGCATCTGCATACTGAGCAACTTTAAACAAAGCTCTCCTTGTTACGGCCAATAAACAATGTGAAAAGTAACTGCACACATGCACAACTTAGCATTTATGCAGAAACTGTTAACTTCAAACCTCCAGTGTCGCTGCTGAAGCTGTTGTGACAACTATATTAAATTTTAAGGTTTGAAATGGCTGAAGAACAGTCGCTGCAAACACATTTATTTAAAACTTTTCAATTATACAAAACAACACAAAGTTAAACTTGAAAGTTTTTCCCTACATAAGCTGACCAGCTGATAAACATACATGAAAGGAATCCACAATTAGTTGTAATAATAAAATCTGAGAAACATTTATTTCAGATGCAAAAACAACTGAAAAAATACTGTAAGCCGTTTTAAGCAATATAAATTAAGTACAGTCACACTGACGTCGCTGTAACGTTTGTTCCTTTCAGTTTCAATCAGAGCTTCAACAATGCAGAAATTAAGGAAAATGAAGCTGATGGTGAACAAACAGAAGAAGAGGAGAGAGTTGGACCAAACAGCTGGTGTTTGTGCTGCTGCTGCTTGGAAACGCCAATCCGACAATAAGCTGTAAAGAACTCCAGTTTCCAACTCAAACGGTTTACTTTTAGCAGCAGGATCAAAACATTCACAAATATATTGGAATAGTTTGTTTCAAACACTTAAAGATTATTCACCATCACTTTAAACATCTTCCAGTCCGTTTTGATTTTGTGTTAGCTCCTCCTGGTCGTGTTAGCTCCAGCTAACATAATGAGCAGCAGGACACAATCCGATCAGGTTGGTTTGTTTCCACAGATCTTTCATGAATAACAACAAATGAAAATGTGGAGTTTGTTTTGTGGGCTTGTCAGGCTCCAGGACCTTCAGGTCCTGTGTTTTGGCTGCAGGCTTGAGTCCACTGTAACCATCGCTACAGCATGCACTGAAAAAATGGCAAAGTCCGTTGGCGAAAAATAAAAGAAACAGAATTTAAAATTTTTTAAGTAATTGTGAGTTTTTACATATCACAAATGACTTGGGTTAATGTAATAGGAAAACTACAATGTATTTAAGCCAACATGCTCAACTGGTTGAGAATCCCTGAAAGAGTCAGAAACAGGAAGTCATTCCTGTATTTGGGATCAGAGCATACAACGCCCAACTGAGTGTCTTTAACTACACTCATTTAAAAACACATATTTCCATAGACATTCCTTTTTATTTTATTTACATGTCATATTTAAACTATTCATAATTTGACTATTATTTACATTTTTGTAATATTTTAACTCTTTGATGGGAGTAAGTGGATCACTCCGGTGTTTCTGATTCTGATATCCAGTCGGTATCATTTCACCTCCGTGGTTTAGGACTCTGTCTGTCTGCAGCGTTATGCAAAAGCCAGCATTTCTGAAACTTGGAAGCAAGTTGGGAGAAAGAAAAAGGAAGAACCCATAAAACTTTGATGATTACAATCTTTCAAAAATGCCTAATGGGACATTTCCCTTGGCTCTGGACTGAGCTCTACCAGTTTCCTCCCGGTGTATAATCTATGGCCGCTGTATTTACTTTATCAAACAGCTGCATGACTCTCCTGATACAGCTGACTTCCCAGGGTTTGGACACAGAAGCTGCGAGGGTTTTCTTTTGGACCTGGCAGTGAGACGTTTTTACCTGCGTGTTTATTGCTCCAGACATCTGCCACTGAACAGAGTCCTTGGATCAGGGTTGTTTTCACACAGCCACGCTGGAACCTGGGGAGGTTCAGAAGCTTTTTGTTGAAGCTTGTTTACCGTTTCAGATTATAAAACCAAACCGAAACAAGAAAACACATAACCTTAAATTTACTTGAGTAAATTTCTTTTGATCTTGTAGAAAAGTGCTGCACTAAAAACAAAAACTGAGACAAAGCAGGTCGTTTGTGACTGAAAATCTCAGTAAATGTGAGTCCATCCTTGGTAGACATATAACAAATAACTAACCCTTCCTCTAACATTATGGTGTAGAAACAAACTGGTCTGGCAATTAGAGCCTTATTACATCTGGATCATTAACTCCACAACAAGTTACCAGGGAGCCTGCAGCCGCTCAGGTCTGCGCTGCGTTGCACACCGTGGAACGGACAGAGGCAGAAAAAAACAAAACACCAGGAGAGCAGCATGATGTAAGAGGGTAAATATGAGCGGAGCAGGTATTTCTCAGCACACACATCCTCTGCATGCATGCAGCTACATCCCATTAACACTTTGGTTTAGAGAGGCGGATTTAATGACAAACTTTTAACTTCTACACTGAACCAACATACCAACACTAATCCTCTGCAGCAAAGACAAAAAGACAGATTTAAAAACAAATGTGCTTATAAAACTTAACTTATGACTAAAGATTAACAAAAAACATAAAAAAATAACGTTTTATTGAGGATTTAACACACAAAAAAGGAGTGACAGAGCAGTAATGTTGTTCCCTTTGTTCTATACAGTAAACCAATTAAACTACAAACTCTGATCAGAATCAAGGATTATAATTTAAAGATAAAAAATCTGTTATCAGATTTTAGACACGAGAAAAGTGATTCTTCTGGAAGCTGATTAAAGTGAATCTATTCTCACTGAATTCAGACTCCAGCAAACAGTAAAACATCAGCATGTGCTTACAAATATGACAGCATATATTTGATGGGCTGTACATAGATATTAAACCAGAACGGATAATTTTGACCCTGTGTAGTTTAGAGAAAACCAATCCTTCATTTAGGCCTGGGAACCAAATTCTTACTTTTAAAAAATATTATTTCATTATTATTTAACCAGGAAGTTGAAATAAGAATTAGGCAACACAAATCAGAATTACACAAATTAGTGAAATAATTGATAATAAATAAATAAAAAAAGACAAACACAAACCTCCAAAGTAAAACAATGACATTCCTCCTTCACTGCCTGTTTTATAATACTTTTAAAAGTTAGATATTTGTCACGTAGAAACAATTTACAATGAAAAACTTACTTTAAAAGCCACTTAAAAAGGTAAAGAAAAGTGTGAAATGTAAACCAGCCTTATAAATATATCAACATATCATCTATAAGTACCAATAACAGGATAAAAGTAGTAAATAAATATCAATTTTATACAATAAATAGTGCAAATAAGAATTGAGTAGCAGATTATTGGTAGCAGTGCAAATGTAAACATGTAGTCAGTTCACTGTAGAGTCTGATGGAAAGAAGGAGTTTTATTCTAGTTGTGCACATCAGTCATCAGTCATTTTTACTTCGAGAACATTTTGTAGATTATTCCAGGATTACAGGGTTTTGCCAAAAACTGTCAAAGTCCAGGGAAAATCTTAAAGTTTCTACTACATTTACCTCAGTACACTTGAAATAAGAGAAAACTAACTTACAAGGAACTTTTCAGTGACAAAAACTAGCTTGTTTTAAGTCAATAAGTAGTACAAGGACTATTGCCAGATTATTTCACTTACAACATGGGAAAAATGTCTTGTTATAAGTGAAACAATCTGCTAAAGGAACAAGCACTTCTTCATCAATATTAAGAAATTATTGACTTAAAACAAGCTCATGTTTCTTGCTGAAAAGTTACTTTCCAGTTGGTTTCCCCTTATTTCTAGTGTACTGAGATATTTGCGATAGAAACTAGACCAGAATTACTTTGTATGATTATGTGTTTTTGCAGTGTTTGCAAGAAAAATGCAAGTTCATAACACTTGGAATATATTATTCTACTCCAAACAGCCCCTTATGATATAAATATGCAGATATATTCGCGGCACAATGTGCAGCCCTAATGACGAGCGTATGTAAACTTCTGACCAGAACCGATGAGAGAAACTTGGTCTCAACCTGTTCTCTGTCATACAGGGGTGGAGCCGCTCGGCAACGGCTCCAAATTGGTTTCAAGTGTGAGTAAGTGCCTGGTGAGCTCCTTCTAATCTAGTGATAGATGAGGGGAAGTCCCCAGAGATCCTGGGCTGATTGTAACACGGCTGTTAATTGATGACTTTGTTGCGAATGATCTATGGTGGAGAGAGGGCCTCACCAAGTTGGAAAACAGTTGGAAACACTTCTCCAAGCGTCCAGCAGTCAATAACAGGAGCTTCAGCTCGGTGACGGCTTTGATGCCAGGAGCAGAGCTGCACTTTGTGAAAACTTGGAATGAGTTTTCAGATTGAAATCAAACAGCCGTAAACACGGCGCCGGACCTTTCTCCGTGTTACCTGAACTCAGGACCTCATCGGTGCGTTTTGTACATCTCACCAACATCAACAAAGCTCAGACAAAAGCAGACATTACTGGAAGAGGCACTACTGACAAATAAATCACTACTAGAAGAGCTTGAGTGTTCAGTTTTTGCAAAACATCCTTAAGAAAGAAAAGATACTGTTGGAATTAATAGTAGATATTGGAAAAAAGTATAAGAAAGACATGAAATGGTGAAACAAAAAACATCAATGTTGTTGCAACTCCTCTGGTTTTTCTGACAGCTTCAACCCCAGGAAGACTTCAACAGTAAAAAAACAATATTCTTCATCAACCTGTTTCCAGCGTTTTCGTACTTCGGCTGACAGGATCCAGGATCTGGACTCGTCACTCACCTTTTTGTTTACAAAAATTACACCTCAAATTTCCAGTCGGACTGAAGTTCGGGGTGTTTGCCGGACGTCTAACTGAATTTATCTGCCTGTTTTGAAGAATAAGTTTGAACCGCATTTGCCGAGTCAGGTGTGTTAACGTCAATCATCAGCAAACACAGTTTGGACCTGTGGACCGAGAAAATGTCCGCCGCTGTATTTCCTGTACATGTCTGTTCAGTCGTTACATGTGTAATTTGGGATTGTACCAAACATGAAGTTATTTCATTGAAAAAAAAATAAATATATATGTTAATAAATGATTAATAAACACTCCATCAAATAAAAAATACCATATAAACAAATTAAATATAAAAAGCTCATTTCGTTGGGTTTATTTATTCATTTCAAGGACTTAAATGAAGAAATATGTATATACATGTAAATACATATGTACATATACAGCCACTATATGCCAAGTTATGGAGGAAGAAATTATACTCTGAGATTAATTGTAGCTCTTGTCACATTCTTACTTAGCTGAAGACATTAGTTACCATTCATTTTAATATTTTCTTCTACTTTTCATAATAGCCGTGTCTGTGGCTCTGCTCCTCGTTCCCCTTTTCTCCTCATTCTCAATTATATTTCCCTCCAAAGTCACAACTTTCTGAAATAAAATTTCAGAAAGTCAAATTGGTGTTTAAATCCACCAAACCTCTGAGTTTGTGTCGTTCTTAGATCACTGATAGGGAAGCAGCAGCTTTAGCCACCAAGGGATCCAAACTGTGACATTTCTGGAGACGTTTTGGGCTCTTGGCAGCAGCTTTGTGCTTCTCATGGTGCACATGTCTCTCCACAGTCTTAACCCCCGCAGAGCCCAGCTTTTTTTAAATGAATGGGTTTGGCAACAACAGTCATATGAGTTGGCAAAAGAAGTGATCCAATGGCAAATATAAATCTGCACTTGGACGCGAAAAAGCTAGCTAGCTAACAAGGCTATGTTAGCAGCTGGTTAGCAGTAGCCAAAACCGCCGAAAGTCACAGAATGAAGTAAAGTTTCTGACTGCAACTCAAACTTCTGACTGACAAAATAAATATTTAAGACCTGTCATTGACGTATTTATGGACAACTTAGATGTTTTTAAATGAATTAAAGACATTTTAAGGCCTCAATTTTAGATAAATAAATTAAAGATCTTTTATGGATGTGCAGACACGAGTCCTGTTACACTCTTTAGGTATGTTTTACAAAGTCATCAACCTCATGATTTGCATCATTTCTGTGACATAAGAAACTAAGTAAGTAAGATGATAAGTAGTGAGTCCACATTGTTTTTAAGTGTTGACTTTTCTCCCTTTTCACCCTTGAAGTCAGGAGTTAATTTTGGAGTTTCCTGTGGTCACGGCATGCATCACATCGACGTTGATGGTACGGTATTTTTTCAGGTTATAGGCGCGAACGACAACCAAAAACTTTCCAAATTTTATAGCAGGAAAACTCTGTCATGTGTCGGGAGCTCTGTAGGTTTTTCTAAACAAGATATAGATCCTCCTGAAGTCAGAATAAAATGCTGTCCTTTGGCCTTACCTGATCCGTTTCCATTATATCTGCCAGATCATTCTCTGACATATTGAGGATGGAGGCAGCGATGGACTTGGCTTTGATCATGGACTTGGCTGAGAGGCTGCTCTTCTCCGCCACAGAGCTGGCCTGCCTCTGCCTCCTCCTGCTCATCAGCTGCTGTTTGACCTCTTGAACGTCTAAAAGTATTTCACTGGCCAGGGTCTGAGAAGGGAGGAGAAGAAGAGGAAAAAAGAGGGAGGAGAAGAGGATGATGAAATGGATGTAGAAAAACAAGAGGGATAGCGCTGCCCGGCAGATGAATAAATGAAATTGATCAAGCATGCGCCAGAGAGGCCTAGTACATTATGGAGGAATATTGAGTTTGACAAAGTCAGATTCTCCTCGGTTTTGCCTCACACTCCCCTGTAGGAGTGTGGACCTCGGGGTTTGTTGCCCCGTTGATTGAAAGCTGAGGGAACACGGCTTTGATATTAAACACACCCCGAGTTTCTCCAAAATCTCCACAGGCAAAGAATCACGCTTTGGAGAGGGAGAAAGACGGAGCGCTATGAAAATACAGCCATTCATTTATTTATTTGCTTTCTGAAACGTCTTACAGTACAACAGGGCAGCATAACAGTGTTAATAATTAAGCTAAAGAGGGGCTGTCTCAAATGGTGCCCGAGTGGGCGGCGAGCGAGACGAGGAAGGCCTGGGGTGGCACGGCTGTCAGGCACTAAATGGGAGTATGCTCTAAATACAGAGAGACAATTAAATGTTAAAACTGCCACTGTACACTAGGAAGTCAATAAAGTAAACTCCCCTTTGCTTCATTTTGAGCTTATTGATCGAAGCAATAATCTTCTGCATCATTCCCCTGCAAGCCGGCTGAAAAGCTGACCTTGGGTGGATTGTCAGGTGAGAGAAAGCTGCAGACAACAGAACTCAGAGAAAGAAAAGCACCGGCAACAACTTGTTCTGCAACAGGAAACGATATAAAGAGTGAGGCTGGTTTACGCTGCTGCTGCTGCTGATACCAACACAAAGTCCAGTCGAGGGACCCGAGTTAAAAGGCTAATCGCACATGCAGCACATATCTCAAATCTTTTGAATTTCACACACAAGTACCAGACGTGGTTTGCATCATGAGACACAAAGTAAACATCATCTCCCATACTCTGTTAGAACATACAGAAAAGGGCAGTTTATGTGGAACTTCAGACCACAAATCCTACATAACCTGCTTTAGGTGAACAACTTGGTAGAAAAAGCAAAAGGTGTCAATGAACTGAGCATGCCCGATACACTACAATCGCTTCAATTTGACTAACCGTCAGATTTAACTTCACATTTCTTTCTTTACCCAGAATGCCCTGCGCTGTACTCCATTTCCTGCTTTTGGAGCGGTCTCTGGTTGTCTTGGCGTTCACATATGCATTTGTTCACTTCAAACAGTCCTTAGATCAAGATTTCCTTTCCATCAGCAAGCACCTGTTTTTAATTTCTTCAGTTTAGATTTGCAGGCGCTACATGGAACATTGATTTTAGATGCATTCTTTCATGCGTGTCTTGTAAAATAATCACGTTTCTACCACACCACTGTTCATGTGAGGAGCGGCCATATTGAGTCGACCTTTCAAGTCGTAACTGGGTTCAGTTGGAGTTGGTCCTGTGGCGTTCCAGTTGACTGGCTGGGAAGTCTGAATTTCCCAATGCAAAGTCCAACTGGAACGCAGCATTAGTTCATACTGGGGATCAAGCCACCTTCAGGCTTTTGAGGCCTAAATCCATCCATTCTTTACACCCTTGTCCCTTAGTGGGGTCAGGAGGGGTGCTGGTGCCTCTCCAGCTAACGTTCCAGGCGAGAGGCGGGGTCACCTGGACAGGTCACCTGGACAGGTCCCCAGTCTGTCGCAGGGCAACACAGAGACACACAACCATGCACACACACACACTCACACCTAGGGACAATTTGGAGAGGCCAATTAAACATGACAGTCATGTTTTTGGACTGTGGGAGGAAACCGGAGTACCCGGAGAAAACCCACCATGCACAGGGAGAACATGCAAACTCCATGCAGAAAGACCGGGGCCGGGAATCGAACCCAGAACCTTCTCGCTGCAAGGCAACAGCTCTGCCAACTGCGCCACTGTGCAGCCATTTCCTCTAAATCTTTGGCTAAATTAAAAGTGTCTGCACATTTTTGACAAACCATAAACCTTTCTGCATCACATATACTCCTGAGGTTACTGGGCAGATTGGAAAAATACAGAATGATGACAGAATGCAGTTCTAAACATTTAGTTTTGGTCAACAGAAAACACAAGAGCTGCATGTTACAAGAAACACATATTGCAGCTTTGCACAGCGTGTATAACACAGAGCACATTCTGAGTCTGAAAGACTGTAACTGCAGCCTACCTTGACTTGAACTTTTCCAGCAGGCTGTAAAAGTTTCCTAATTCAGAGTGTTTCATGACAGAGAGGTTAAAAGCCCAGAAGCATAACGCATAATGTCTTTTTAAGTTGCCGTCTTTGGGAATAGTGGAAATTCTCTACAGAACAATTGCTTCTCACACATTCACTGTTCATGCAGTTTTATTTGACAAGTTTTATTAATATAAAAGTTCACAATGGATTTATGCCAAGATGTTTCTGCAGAGTTCAAACAAAAACCTGGGAGGGAGGGAAGGATGGAGGGAGGAAGAGGGAGGGATGGATGGAGGGAGGAAGAGGGAGGGATGGATGGAGGGAGGGAAGGATGGATGGAGGGAGGGAGGAAGAGGGAGGGATGGATGGAGGGAGGGACAGAGGGAAGGAGAGATGGAGGGAGGGAAGGATGGAAGGATGGAGGGAGGGAGGGACAGAGGGAAGGAGAGATGGAGGGAGGGATGGATGGAAGGATGGATGGAGGGAGGGAGGGACAGAGGGAAGGAGAGATGGAGGGAGGGAAGGATGGAAGGATGGAGGGAGGGAGGGAGGAATGGATGGATGTATGGATGGATGGATGGAGGAATGGATGGAGGAATGGATGGATGTATGGATGGATGG